TTTTATCTGGTCTTTTCGAGACAAGGTCTCCCTGTAGCCCCAGCTGTCCTGGATTCACTATGGAGACCAGGCTGGCCTCGAATTCACAGAGATCCCCCTGCCTCTGCCTCCTGAGTGCTGGGATTAAAGGCATGCGCCACCAGCCTGGCCATTGTGAGGCTGTATTTGATGAGACTTGAGAAGCTGCCTTTTAAAAAGACCAGTATGATTTGGTTTGTCTCCACTATTCTCCGTTTTCTCCCCTTTGGTATGACCACTTAGTGTCTGTTGCCATTTAGCACTGCTCTCTTACTGTTGTTTTTAGTTCAGTGTAGAGTAGGAATGGTTTTCTGTACCAGTGCCCCTCTCAAAACTAGCTAAGTGCTAGACTAAGAGAACCACATGCCCTAAGAACTGGGAGGGAACATATTTCATTATGGAAGTGAATGATTTCTTTATGTATTTAATATGCAGACACCTGAATTGCTTCACACATTTACATTATTCTGTTGGTTTCTAAGTGTGTGACCCTTGTTTTAGAGAGACCGTTATTTGATAGCAGTGAGAGGACTGGTGTGGATGAGAGGGACCAGAGACGGATGAACAGTTGATCAGATGGAAAGTAATGATAGTCTGAAGCAAAGTGAAGATGATATGCAAGTATATTACAGAAGAAGACTTCCCAGAGGTTGGGTCTCAAGCAGCCCAAGGTAGCTCTGAGGTTTTAAGTTTGGGTAATGCTATCAATCAAAATAGGGAAGCTGAAAAGAGGAAGCATGTTTATAGTATGGAAATAGTTTCAGTTTGGGCTTAACTGTTCGTAGATATTACTAAAACACTCAGGTGACTTGCACAAGTGACTCCAGAGCTCAAAGACTGATCAGAGCAGAAGAAACAGACTTGGGAGGAGGCACCTGCGTAGCTGGTGTGAGTGGAGGCTGTGCAGAGTAAGATGGCCACGGAAGAGCTTAGAGGTAGGCCTCTTGAAGGCCTAGGCTAGCATCTAAGGGAATGCTTTCTTCCAATGGAGAGCTCATGGAAGAAAGGAAAAAGAGCCCCCTTACCCTAGAGAAGCTCATGAACCACTTTCAGAAGTACAGTTACTCACTGAGCGATCTTACCTGCTCAGTGGAGCATTCGCTTTCTACTAGGGATTGAAGTCAGGGTGTTGCATGTGCTAAAGAAGTGCTTTGCTACTGAGCTACAGTCCCCAAATAACTTTTTTTTACTAACTACTTAAAGTACCAAAGTTTCCAAATGATGTATTATAAAACTAAGTTAAAGCCGGTTGTCCTGTCCACTATTGTCATTCTTATACACAGGCTGTAAATTTTTTTAAAAACATTTATTTAGTCTCTATGTGTGTCTGTGTGTGCACACAGATGTACCGCAGTACACATGTGGAGGTCAGAGGACACCTTTTGGGAGTCAGTTCTCTCCTTTCACCATGTGGTTTCTAGGAATAGCACTTAGGTGGTCACGCTTTGGCAGCTAGTGCCTTTACATGCTGTGCCTTCTCACTGGTCCCAAAAATGCTTTTGTTGAATTTGAAAGGAAGCTAGCCTACTGCCCAGGGGAGTGCGCTAACCATGTAAACATCAGTTGTGTTATCATGGCTAAGAAAAAGTAGAGAGCCGATAGTTAAAGGCTTGGCTAAGGAAATATCTGAACTAGAAACCCAAAAAGAGCAGTGAGAAAGGTTAGAAAATCAGTGTAATGTAGTCCCTTAGCAAGCAAGGAGAGAGGAATTCTCAAAGAGAGGAAGATCCACAATGGCAGAGACAGTGGAATGGCAGAGGAGGGTAAGAGCTAGGAAATAGCATGGATTTTGTGGGTAGGAGGGCACTGAAGACCTTAAAGCTGCTCATTTGTCTGGATTACAAGAGATGCCAGACTGAAAGGATTCATGTGCCTGAATGTTGACAAAGAGAAAGGAGTACGTATTAGCTACTACTTAAAACTGTTCAGTACTGAAGTGTCTTTACTTAACTGAGCAACTGATAATAGCTGTAGAGAATAGAGGGGATGCTTTTGGGCAGGAGGAAACTGGGATCTGTATCGAGGTAGAGAGGAAGGGGCCAGAGTGGAGAGAGTTTGGAAATACAAGTGAAAGGAGATGACAAAAGAGGTGGTTTGGGATCAAGAGCATAAGAGAAGGGGTTGTCTTGGCGAGAGCAGGAGCACTTCCATCTCTTAGGAAGGCACAGAGTAACTTAGATGTAAGGCAGAGAGGTTGAAGCAGCTTATGTTAATGGGTTTAAGTTTTGGGAAATTTGAGAAGAGGCCATTTATTTTGAGGTGAGAGGAAAGAGAATTGAGGATATAAGAAATAGACAAATGCTTTGGAAGAATCACTGCATAAAAGGAATATAGAATAATCTACAGTGATAAATGAGTTATTAAGAAGTAGTTTGGGGTGGGGCTGGAGAGATGGCTCAGGGGTTAAGAGCACTGGCTGCTCTTGCAGAAGACCTGGGTTCCCCTACACCCACATGGCAACTATTCTGGGGAGGCAGAGACAGAAGGATCCTTTCTGGCCAGCCAATTTAGCTAAATCAGTGAGCTTCGACTGCAGTGAGAGCTCCTGTCTCAGAAAAATAAAGTGGAGAGCAATTGAAGTGCACATCCATTGACCTCCAGCCTGCCCCCCCACACAAAGTAATTGATACTATGTATATATACACACATGTGAATATGTAAGGTATCATATGTGTGTATAAACTTAT